CAGGATGGTCTCGATCTCCTGACCTCGTGATCCGCCCGTCTCGGCCTCCCAAAGTGCTGGGATTACAGGCTTGAGCCACCGCGCCCGGCCCCCCTCCCCTCTTTTCCCTTTCTTCTTCTCTTCCCTTCCGTCTCTTGTTCTGTTGCCCAGGCTGGAGTACGGTGGCACCATCACAGCTCCAGCCTGGGCAACAGAGCAAGACTCTGTCAAAAAAAAAAAAGAAGAAAAAAAAAAGAAGGGGTGGGGATTGAGGGAGAGGACCCTCAGTCCTCGGAAGTCCCACTGTCATTGCTCATCTGTCTTTCTCTGGTCATTTCTCTGTTTCTTTCCATTCTCTCTCTCTCGATTCCCCCTGCCTCCCATTTCTTAGCGTCTGTGTTTCTCTGCTTTTCTCTGTATTTAATGGTGCCTTCCTCTTTCTTTCTGGGTCTCTGACTTGTGAATTAAAAGGTAGCGATTAGAAGTGCAGTGTCTGAGTAGGGCATGGTGGTGTGCACGGGTTGTCCAGAACTTCGGGAGGCTGAGGCTGGAGGATCACTTGAGGCCAGGAGTTCGAGACCAGCCTGGGCAACATAGTGAGACTTCCTCTACAAAAAATAAAAAAAGAATTATCGGCTGGATGCAGTGGCTTACGCCTGTAATCCCAGCACTTTGGGAAGCTGAGGCGGGTGGATCACCTGAGGCCAAGAGTTCGAGACCAGCCTGGCCAACATGGTGAAACCCTGTCTCTACTAAAAATATACACACACACACACACACACACACACACACACACACAGAGATGGGTGTGGTGGCGGGCACCTGTAATCCCAGCTGCTCGGGAGCCTGAGGCACGAAAATTGCTTGAACCCAGAAGGTGGAGGTTGCAGTGAGCTGAGATCAAGCCACTGCACTCCGGCCTGGGTGACAGAGCAAGACCCTCCCTGTCTCAAAAAATAACTAAAAAAATAAACATAAAAGTAATTTAGCCAGGTGTGGTTGTGGTGCAGCCTTTAGTCCCACCTACTCAGGAGTCCAAGGTGGGAGGATTGCTTGAGCCTAGGAGGTTGAAATTTCAGTAAGCTGTGATTAAGCCATTGCATCCCAGCCTGAGAGAGAGTGAGAGCTTGTCGAGAGAGAGAGAGAGAGAGACAGAGAGAGAGAGAGAAGGAAAAAGAAGAAGAAGAGGAAGAGGAAGAAAGAAGAAAGAAGAAGAAAGAAGAAGAAGAGCAGTGTTTGTAACCTCGGAGTCTGAATTTAGATCCCAGCTCTGCCTATTTCTGTATGATCTTGGGCAACTCACTTCACCTCTCTGAGCCTCAGTTTGCTCATCTGTAAAAACGTGATAATAATACTGCTTTGTGGCCAGGTGTGGTGGCTCATGCCTGTAAATCCCAGTGCGTTGGGAGGATGAGGTGGGAGGATCGCTTTAGACCAGGAGTTCAAGACCAGCCTAGGCAACACTGCAAGACTCTGTCTCTACTAAAGATTAAAAAAAAAAAAAAAAAAATTAGCCAGGCACAGTGACTGTAGTTCCAGCTACTTGGTGGGCTGAAGCAGAAGCAGGAGGATCAGTTGAACCCAGAAGTTCAAGGTTGCAGTGAGCCTTGAATTGTGCCATTGCACTCCAGCCTGGGCACCAGAGGGAGACCCTGCCTATAAAAGAAACAAGCAGGCCAGGCGCAGTGGTTCTCGCCTGTAATCCCAGCACTTTGGGATACCGAGGTGGGCAGATCATGAAGTCAGGAGATCGAGACCATCCTGGCTAACACGGTGAAATCCTGTCTCTACTAAAAATACAAAAAATTAGCCGGGTGTGATGGCGGGCGCCTGTAGTCCCAGCTACTTGGGAGGCTGAGGCAGGAGAATCAATTGAACAAGGGAGGCAGAGGTTGCAGTAAGCCAAGATCACGCCACTGCACTCCAGCCTGGGTGACAGAGCAAGACTCTGTCTTTAAAAAAAAAAAAGCCCCCAAATCAAACCAAAGCAAAAAATACAGCTTTGCCTCATAGGGAGACCTAAATGAGGCATTCAGACAGTGTGCAAATAGGGAGTGTCATTTAGTGTCAGTATTTGTTCCTTCTTAGCCTCACTTTCCCCTGCTTCCATCTCTCTACAGTGCCCTGCATCTCTTGCATATTCTGATATCTCTCTGCTGTCTCCTCCTCCTCCTCTCCTCCTCCTCCGCTCCCTCCTCCTCCTCCTTCTTCTTCTCCTTCTTCTTCTCTTTCTTCTTCTCCTTCTTCTCCTCCTTCTCCTTCTCCTTCTCCTTCTTCTTCTTCTTCCTTCTTCTTCCTCCTTCTTTCTTCTTCTTCTTTCTTCCTTCTTCTTATCTCTGCTATCTTTTTCTTGTTCTTCTTCTTTTTTTTTTTTGAGACAGGGTCTCACTCCGGTCTCCCAGGCGGGAATGCAATGCTGCAATGATAGCCCATTGCAGCCTCGACCTCCCAGGCTCAAGCAATCCTCCTGCCCCACTTTTTGTAGAATCATGTCTCACTCTGTTGCCCAGGCTGGTTTCAAACTCCTGGGTTCAAGTGATCCTCCTGCCTCAGCCTCCCAAAGGGCTGGGATTACAGGTGTGAGCCACCTCACCTGGTCCTGCTGTCTTTTTCTCTGTCTTGGTCTCTCTGCCTCTCTGGTTTCAGGTCCTCACAGCCTTTACCTTCAAGTCTGTCACCAGGATACAATTTCTCCCACCCTAGCCACCCTAAAGGTGAGGGCAGAACTGTGGGGAAAAGAAAGAGAGATCAGCCTGTTACTGTGTCTATATAGAAAGAAGTAGACATAAGAGACTCCATTTTGTTTTGTATTTGAGATGCTGTTAATCTGTGACCCTACCCCCAACCTTGTCCTTGCAAGAGACATGTGCTGTGGTGACTCAAGGTTTAAGGGATTTGGGGCTATGCAGGATGTGCTTTGTTAAAAAAGTGCCTGAAGGCAGCTTGCTTGTTAAAAGTCATCACCATTCTCTTAATCTCAAGTACCCAGGGACACGTACACTGCAGAAGGTCGCAGGGACCTCTGCCTAGGAAAGCTAGGTATTGTCCAAGGTTTCTCCCCATGTGATAGTCTGAAATATGGCCTTGTGGGAAGGGAAAGATCTGATCATCCCCCAGCCTGACACCCGTGAAGGGTCTGTGCTGAGGAGGACTAGTATAAGAGGAAAGAAGGTCTCCTGGCAGTTGAGATACAGAAAAGCATCTGTCTCCTGCCTGTCCCTGGGCAATGGAACATCTCGGTATAAAACTGTACAACTGGATTGTATGTTCTGTTTACTGAGAAAGGAGAAAACCGCCTTAGGGCTGGAGGTGGGACGTACTAGCAGCAACGCTGCTCTTTATGCACTAAAAAGGTTTATGGAGATGTTTGCATATGCATATCAAGGCACGGCAATTTTCCTTAAACTTATTCATGTCACAGAGATCTTTATTCATATGTCTTACTGCTGACCTTCTCCCTACGATGATCCTATTATCCTGCCACTTCCCTTTTCCTAAGATGGTAAAGATAATGATCAATAAATACTGAGGGAACTCAGAGACTGGTGCCGGCGTGGGTCCTCTGTATGCTGAGCGCCGGTCCCCTGGGCCCACTTTTTCTTTCTCTATACTTTGTCTCTGTGTCTCATTTCTTTTCTCAAGTCTCTCGTTCACCTAACGAGAAACGCCCACGGGTGTGGAGGGGCAGGCCACCCCTTCCCAGAACTAGCCAGTGTCTCCCTCTCTGCAGCCAGCTCTCTTCTCCCCATCCTAAATGACTGTCATCCTCCCTTTAATTCAGCCAAGACTGGTTTGAATCTATTACAAATGTACTAAGAAGTGATACAAAAAGCCTAGAAAAGGGCGTGCCATAGAACAAGCTCTGTGGGTACACATCTTCCCCACATCTGCCTCTGCCCTGCAGACCAGGTACAGATTGGAGGGATGGGGGATGGGCACGCGGCAGGCACAGCGTGCAGGGAAGACAGCGTGACTGCCAGAGGGACGAAGGCAGACCGTGGACCAAGAAGGAGACGGAGCAACCCACATGGATGGGCCTCATCACCCACAGGCTAATCTGGAAAGGCCGGGGCATTAGCACGGGAGCAGGCACAGCTGGAAGGGCCGCGGCAAATTGCCAGGACCTGAGCTGAGCGGGGTCAGGTCGATGTCCTCGGGCGCACCCAGCGGCTGCAACGAGAAGCTCTGCAGGATGGCGGTGCGTTACAGAAAGAGCTCCATGCGCGCCAGCGACTCGCCCAGGCACAGACGGCGCCCTGCCGGGGTGGCAGGGTGGGGAGCGGCGGTGAGATAAGATGAAGTTAGAGGCTGCAACCCCACATTCCCAGAGGAAAACATAAGAGGAAAGGAAGACAACAGCTGGGGACGTCACAGATTCACCCATCTGAAGATCTGGGAAAGATGCTTTAAACTGTGGAGTGGAATGACCTGGGCTGCTTGGGTTCGAATCCCGGCCCTGTCACTACTAGTTTTGTGATCCTGGACAAACCACACTTTCTGGGTATTTAAAATGGGGCTATGAAGGCTGGGCGCGCTGGCTTAGGCCTGTAATCCCAGCACTTTCGGAGGTCGAGGGAAGAGGATCTCTTGAGCCCAGGAGTTTGAGAGCAGCCTGGGTAACACAGCAAGATCCCGTCTCTAAATATATATATATATATATAAAATATATATTTTTTAAATGTGCAAGGTGGCACATGCGTGCAGTCCCAGCTGCTTGGGAGGCTGAGGCGAGAGGATCACCTGGGCCCAGGAGATCAAGGCTGCAGTGAGCCATGATTGCACCACTGCCCTCCAGCCTGGATGACAGCAAGACCCTGTCTCAGAAATGAAAATAAAAGGAGGGATAGTAATAGTGCCTCATGAGGCTGCTGTGAATGGTAAACACAGGGAAAGCAGTGAGGTTATAAGTAGCTTACCATGCACTACTCTAAGCGTTAGATCACCATTAATTCTAACAACTCCAAGAGGCAGGCCTTAGTATATCTCCATTTTATAGATGTGGACATTGAGGCACAGAGAAGTGAAGTAACATACCCAAGGCAACACAGCTAGGGGGTGACAGATGGGATGCAAACCCTGCTGGAATCTGGGCTGCACATTTCCAGAGGAAAACATAAGCTCTTAGCTGGGCTCTTGTACAGCCCGCACTTGATGCACAGTAGGCAACATGGTAAGTTGCCTATTATTATGCCAGTTTTTTGTTTTTTCTTTTCCTGCCACTGAGTAAAGAGGGAAGTATTTTTCAGCAGGGTAAAGAGGAAAGCCAGAAAAAACCCAAAAAACAAAAAACAAACAAAAAACCCCCCCTAGAACCACCTCAACTGCGCCACCCAGTGGAGAGGTAGACAATGACCACTCCCAAGTTCAATGATTATTTTTTTTCCTTTTAAACATTTTATATATTTTTTAGTTTTGGCTAGTCAGTATTTTTTATTGTAGAGAAAGGATCTCGCTCTGTTACCCAGACTGGAGTGCAGTGGCGTGATCATACTCAGTGTAACCTCAACCTCCTGAGCTCAAGCGATAATCCCACCTCAGCCTCCCAAGTAGCTGGGACTGCAGATGCCCGCCACCACACCCAGGTAATTTTAACATTTTCAGTAGACAAAGGATCTTGCTATGTTGTCCAGGCTGGTCTTGAACTCCTGGCCTCAAGTGATCCTCCCGCCTCAGCCTCCCAAAGTACTGGGATTACAGGTGTGAGCTGATGTGCCTGGCCCAAGTTAAATAATTCTTATAATAATTATTTATTTTTTTGAGATGGAGTTTTGCTCTTGTTGCCCAGGCTGGAGTGCAATGGCACAATCTTGGCCCACAGCAACCTCTGCCTCCTGGGTTGAAGTGATTCTCCTGTCTCAGCCTCCAGAATATCTGGGATTACAGGCATGTGCCACCATTTCCTGGCTAATTTGTTTTTGTTTTTGTTTTGAGATGGAGTCTCGCTCTGTCACCCAGACTGGAGTGCAGTGGCACTATCTCCCCTCACTGCAAGCTCCGCCTCCTGAGTTCACGCCATTCTCCTGCCTCACCCTCCCGAGTAGCTGGGACTACAGGCGCCCGCCACCACACCTGGCTAATGTTTTTTGTATTTTTAGTAAAGACGGTGTTTCACCGTGTTAAGCAGGATGGTCTCGATCTTCTGACCTCGTGATCTGCCTGCCTTGGCCTCCCAAAATGCTGGGATTACAGGTGTGCCTTCCTGGTGAATTTTGTATTTTTAGTAGAGACAGGGTTTCACCATGTTGGTCAGGCTAATCTTGAACTCCTGACCTCAGGTGACCTGCCCGTCTAGATCTCCCAAAGGGCTGGGATTATAGGCGTGAGCAACCGCTCCTGGCTGTTAAATTATTATCATTATTTTTTTTTGAGACAGAGTCTCACTCTGTCACCCAGGCTGGAGTACAATGGTGCAATCTCGGCTCACTGCAACCTCCGCCTCCCGGGTTCAAGCGATTTTCCTGTCTCAGCCTCCGGAGTAGTTGGGACTGCAGGTGCCTGCCACCACACCTGGCTAATTTTTGTATTTTAAATAGAGACGGGGTTTCACCATATTGGTCAGGCTGGTCTCGAACTCCTGACTTCAGGTGATCCGCCCACCTCAGCCTCCCAAAGTGCTGGGATTACAGGTGTGAGCCACCGTGCCCAGCCCCAAGTTAAATTATTAATCAACTTCCCCACCTCGCTTCACGAGGATTTTAGTCACTACTTGCTTATAGGCGCAGAGTTGAGAGGAGGAATGAATGTCTGTACATCCAAAGCTGAGAATGGGTGGAAGGAAGGAGTGAGAGGATTTGTCAGGTGGAATTAGGATGAGGAATGTAGGCAGAAATTGGGCCAGAAAGACTCTGCTTCCTGCCCTTACCAGCTGAGAACGGCGTGAAGGCTGGGCTCTTCTTGAAGGACTGATTGGCATCCAAAAAATGCTCGGGGTTGAACTCCTGGGGCGTCAGGAACTGGCTGGGGTCATAGTGGACGGTGTTAAGGAGGGTGATGATATCGGTGCCCTGTGTGGGTGAGGAGGTGGAGTTAGCAGTGTAGGCGGACTGGGAAGCTCCCAAACTAGTTTCCATTTTATCGGGCTGGGTGTCCCGGGGACTTGATAAG